CCGACAAATTTAGGTGCATCGAATTTAGGTTTATCAAAATTCCTGAAAAAAGGCAGTAGCAAAAAATTATTTTAATGAATCACCATGTTAACAGAGCTTGCGTAAAGGAACTATTTTATCCTCTATAGGATCATATGTAATTCGTTAACTTTTTCTGTCCGCACTCAACCCTGGGATAATGATAAGGCGTTTACTTTAGATCTACGTACAACTTTTATAGATTAATATTAATAGTTTTCATGACAACGTTATTTGAGAGTGACAGAATAAATCTATAACATATAACAAGCCTTAAAAACTATTGTTACATAGACATGAGGCAAAATACAGTGGCTTGTGTTTACTTATTCAATTGTAAATTTAAAATAAAACTGTGAAAATAATAGTGGCAAAATATAAGCCTTGGAACATAGTAACGGGAGAGAAATTGTAGAATTATCGAAAATAATAATGACCATGTATAACTTCGCTTATCAAAAATCAACGCCATAGATGAAAATTTTTTAAAATTTATCCTATTGCGTTTCAAATTCCAAGCTCAGTTTTATGGGCGGAATTACTCCGCGCGCACTGTCTCTTATTAAAAATATAATCAAAGAGAAATCAATCCGAATATTAAATTTTTGCAACGGCTTAACCATTAAGTTATTTTGCATTCGAGATTGAATTGCATATGTTCAATTCAGATCAATCAGCGCACACGCACATTCGATAAAAAAATTCAAAAATTAAGCCAACCAAAATCAACGATAAGCCGTAAATTTCACGCAAAATGTACGTGTGAGCGTAATTAGTTTGATGGATTTAAAATTTATATATTCACAAATAAGAATATTGCAGAGGTTAAACAAGCAATTAAGCAGCGAGTTACGGATTCGAGCCCAGGTACCTGTAAAAGTTCTGGCAAAAAATCAGAGAGGTGGCCTGGCCTGGTGGTTAAGAACAGCAAAATTGGAACAACAAATTACGGGTTTTAAGCCCAAGGAAACTGTAAAAATTAATTTATTACTAGAACTGAAAACAGGCCAGATATGGCTTAATCACAACTGTCAATAATGACACCATAATCACTAAAACTATCCAAGTACAAGATGAGTCCCAACAAAAGTCATATATTATATTTCTACCATGAATATTCAATTAGAACGCAATTTGCGTGAGGCACTTCCAGGAACTGATGAACATTGCAACTGATGACTAGAGGAACGATTAACACGATTCCATTTACACAGCACACAGGCTGACACACGCGATCGTCTTCACACACAAGAAATACGCATACACACACGGTCTCACATACACATAGTCTCACGCACAAGACATACATAAACACGGTTCTCACACACAGGCTATACACACAAGCACGGTTCTTGGACACCCAAGATTCCCGAGGCGCCCAAAATTCTGGCCAGAAAGGAAGATAATGTCAGGCAGGCAGGCGTGCAGAAGACTAAACATGCTAGATGCTCACTAGGCACATGAGATGAGATTAAAAACTCGTTAACAAAAATCTATGAATATGAAATTCTAACGGTTCTATGATATCGATGTTAGAAGCATTAGAACATCATTTTAGCATGCGTTCGATATTAAAATATTCTATTCATTATTGATTAATAACAACAAATATATATAAATCTACAACAATCATCAAATAAACCTGCCCAATTTCAACAATCATTAACAATCGCAAACTTTTTAGATGTAAAAGGGACAAATGAAATTTATAGCCAATTTAATTAAGCTACTTAACATTATGATTACTGAACGCAGTCATTAAAAACGATCTTCCTATAAGAATATGAAATTCTATACGCAGTTTTCAACTATATTCCCGATATGAATTTACGCAAATTTTCCTTTGCATTTATCGAATTAACAGCAATCATAACGATAATTTTTATGAAAAGGTTCATCAACTTAGGTTGATTCTGTTGCAATAGAGTCGTCGCCAAAACGGTAGCACGTGTACCTGGGCATAAATATTATAAAAATAACTACGATCAAAGTATTTTAGATGCACAGCCGATATCAATGACCGTTTCTCATTAAATTATTAGTATCAGGCCTTCTTCTCCTCTCGAAGAATCCCATTTTGCAGAGTATGAGAATAATGAGGGCGAGCAGCAGGAGTCCTGCGAAGACAGAGACCAAGATCACCCACAGAGGCACAGACTGTGGCTGCTCCAGCAGGTTGGCGTAAGCCTTGGTCTCTGCCACAGCAACGTCGTCACTTTCATCTTGTCTCGAGCGGATGTCTTCTGGCAGTAAAAGTTCGCCACGTGACTGCACGTTGACGAGGTTCACGTGCGCGTAGTCCTCTACGAGCGTCGCGTTCCACAGCCGCGACACAATACGGATGCTCGCCGAGCTCTCGGCGCCCAAGTTGCGGATTGTGCAGCGGATGGGGATGCACTTGGCCGTCGGCACGTCCCCGGTACAACGCTGCGAGTATAAGTTTTTGAATTTATTACATCGGATAATTTATTTTTCACTCATCATTCAAAGCCCGATTGGACGATTGCCAAACTTGGTCTATTTTTCAATGCCGATACTTTTGGCAATTCAACGCCTTTAACTACTATACTACTTATAATTTTTATATTAAAAGCAAATGCATTCGAGCAAAAGTAGTGTTGTATGTTATGACATTGAACTCTGGAAAACTTACCAAGGTGACAGCCTGAAGCGTACGGCCAGTCACACCGTCGGTCACGTACTGCGCGGTCGCATATCCTTGTCTCTTACTCCGTCGGTGAACCAATCTATCAACAGTTGAATATTCTCCACTCCGTAAACCTGAGTCTGTAATAATTTGAAGCCCCACAAATTTATTTTCTTCGTCAGGGGGCAGAACACCGGCAATTGGAATCGAAGGTGAGGGCAAAACGCCCTCTACGGAATAAGGTTCAGGAGGCGGCCAATTGTTACCAGTAGACGCATTCTCCCTGATTAATTCCGTTCCAAGAAGACTTTTATCTCTGCTAAGAGAATTTGTCGTGTACCGCTTTCGTCGGATGTGATTTGTTCGATAATAATCGTCCTCCTCGTCGTCGTAATATTCATCAGGATACTCATCGTAATCTTCGTAATTTTCTTCGTAATTTTTTGTCGATGACTTTTTAGCTCCTTTATTAGTAGACGCTGTGGTAACCGACTGCACCTTCTCCGACATTGACTGAATCCTGTTGTTGGCTCCTCGATTAACAACGGCGTCTGATGTACCACTTACAGAATCTTTCGAAGTTTTGCTTTCTGTTCGTATTGTGTTCACTTTAGACGTAACCACCTTCGTTGTGACCGTTTTATTAGAGTATGAAACTTGGATGCCTCCGCTAGGCTGCGTCTCAACCTCAGAACCAACATTAAAAAATTGGCCGGATGAAGACTGACCAGACGAAGATTGTCCAGAAGAAGATTGACTAAATGATGATTGGCCAGACGATGATTGGCCAGACGATGATTGGCCAGACGATGATTGGCTGGAAGAAGACTGACTAAATGAGGATTGGCTAGATGTTGATTGACCAGATGAAGATTGGCTTGAAGACGATTGTTCTAATGAAGATGAAGAACTTGAACTCGTGGCCATGAATCGCAAGGGGTCTACGAACGCTGGATCTACGGAGCACTCGCCATCTCCTGTATGACATTAACTTTGTCTGTTACTTAACCAACAAATAAATTCGTGTTTTTGGCACATATAATGAACGACTTTTACTAAACTAATAATATATATATTCCATTTTTAAAACTGTATTTCGGGCCAGATTAATACATTGCTGATACATTAACGAAATAAAAAAGAATTTCCTTAGGATTTTCAAGCTATCGTACCATCAACAACCGGTTTCTCGGTGAGGTAGAGCAGCCAGCTTCCCTGGTCTTGGTGGTTCTCCATTTGGTGAGGCCACAATATCTTCACCTCCACGTAGTCCGACCTCCAGGGACCTCGGTTATCCACGACGTATTTGTGAACCACTTCAGAACCTGTGAGTGGGGAGCTTAGAAGCATTGAAAGAATTCAAGATAATTTCTTAACGGTTAAAGCCTTATGATGATCACTTTGATCGAAATGTGCATCAGGTCGCGTATTTGAAATATGCATCAGGTCGCGTATTTGAAATGTGTATCAGGTGGCGTAGACAGAGAATCAATTATACACATATATGCAGGTTGAGCACTCAAACATGAATTTCTATGACATCGCATATTGAAATACCGAACTTCTCGCGACTTGCGGAAGGCACGTCAAGCAGCTACGCGTTATCAACACGGCATTTCCGTTGAAAATAATGATTTCCATGTCAAATTAAATTAAGGTTGAATTAATAAACACGAACTGATAATTAAGGGATTTCTACGCTGTTCTCTCAACTCAATAAGCTTACAAACGACAAGATTAAAAAAAAATATTTTGTCCAATGTCTTTGGCCAGTTACTTCCGACTAAATATCTGACTTAGATATGAACATAACAAAAGTCCCCAGAACCATTGTTTTTCTGTAGACCAACAGACGGCAAAAATATGAAACTGTGAACTAATTTATTTCTTCAAGTGAATCAAATAAGTCAATTACAAGACGCTGCCCCTTGAGACGCACCGATCTGGTGGACGTTGGTGACGCCGCTCTCTCCCACGATCTCTCCGCCGAAAAACACCTGTTCCGGAGTCACCGACCTGTTGAGAGTTGCGTTACACAAATGAGATACCTTCGTGGGAACGCAAAAGGGTGTGCATATCACAACCAATATATTGCACACACAGCTTATAGATGGATTAATCATTTTCAGCTTAAAAATAACTCGTAAGTTACTACAGTTACCTCCACACAACGTTACATGGAAATAACCTTTGGACTTTAAAAGAGATGACTAACCCTGTGATGGAGACCTCGGCGCGCTTGAGGATCTCGAGGACGAGGTCGATGTTGTCCTGCGGCGTGCGCTCGTTGGAGGTGGAGTTGGCGAAGACCTTGAAGCGGATGAAGCGCTTGTCGAAGAAGCCCGAGGGCTTGAATGCCAGGAGGAGAGGCCCCGTGGAGTTGGTGAGGGGATTACCGAGGGTACAATGTACCAGGTCTGCCCTCACGGGCACGCACATGCCATATAGTCGTGCTAGACCAGCACTCCTCCTGCACTCCACGCTCCAAGGTAACTCCATAAACTCACGTCTGACTCCTTGATGCTGAACGCCATGGAGTCGTGATGCTCCACGAAAAGGCTCGGTTCGTACGCGGGGTCGCCAGAGTTTGTCACGGAGGCCTCCAGCAGCGCCACGTTTCGGAGGCCGAGCTCGAACACTTGGTGCGACCTGTTGAAATGTGACTTTAGTTGGATAGGAAAATTAAATAAGAGTGCAAACATGACCTCAGCCCGTAAAGGCTTGTGAAGGGGACAAACACTCAAAAGGAAAGTAAGAAATAAGTCGCAAAAAGTTTTGAGTAACATTGATCAACTCTTACGTTCTACAAGGAAAAATAATTCCGAAACTGAGCTCACATCGTAGCTGCAGACACATGAGCTCGGTAGGGGCTCGCAAGATAGAGGCATAGGATTTGCATTTGCAGGAAAATACGCACCGAGTGTCGTCCCACGGCAGCTGGAAGGCCGCGTTAAGGTTTAGGTCGCTGTCACATTTGTTGTCAGCGCCGCAGTCTTTCAAGAAATGAGCTTCAAAATATCTGCAGTAAACACGAACAGACTATACTGAAGAGGCAGCGATCACCAGTTGTTTTTTGAAAAAATTAACATTTAATTGATGTTCCCTCAATTTCATACTGATAAATTTTTTTTCCATGCAATCTAAAAGAATCTCTTTGCTTTGACTACAACTAGTTTGGGCCATTAATAAATGGCGTGTGATTCTTTGACATCCATATTGGATTGTTTCTCAATACAATAGTTTCTTTCAAATCATTCTGCATTAATTATTTTTTCTTTCTTTCATTCTTCTGTTTCTTTCAAATTATTCTGAGAGAAATGCTTTTCTGGTATAAGTCATGTTTACGAGGAATCGATATCGTTCCAGAATTTGTGAATTGCAATGAGAAAAATGATATACTTCTTCCTAATTTTCTTCAGTGTAGTGTTTTTAATTTGTCCTATTTTTAGACATTTTTATCATTTCATTCATATAGTTTATTTCTGTTCTTTAAATACATTCTTCCATGATGATAAGAATATCAACCTAACATAATATTAATCAAAGAGAGATACAGTAAAATCTATCATAATCAAATTCAATGTAAATGAAAATAATGATAAAATTGACAACTAAAACTGAAGTAAAAGTCGAGCAGACGAGCTGACCTGAGAGCCTCCTGCTGATCCAGGATGGGGAAATCGTCCATATTGGGTATAGGCCCCCCCTCCCTCATGGGTTGGGGCTCCCTCTGTATGATCTCATACGAGAGCTTGAATTTCAGCGGCCGAAGCACGTCTCTGTTGCCAGGCTGGGGAGAGCGATAAGAACTTTACAGAGATATTAAAATAATGGGCGATGGTCTCGTTAATAACAATCGTTAGTGGGATACGGAAAATAATGCATGCATTAATTTCGTGCGCATGTCTGCCTCCTACACCCACCAGCAGCACCCACTTTATATAGGTGGGTGTGCTGCCTTATATAGCACACCCACCCTAGTGCACCCAATAGCAGCTCTCTCACCTTGAGGTAGGCCACCTATATAGTACACCCACCTTGAGGTAGGCCACCTAGTACACCCACCTTGAGGTAGGCCACCTAGTACACCCACCTTGAGGTAGGCCACCTCCCTAGTACACCCACCTGGAGGTAGGCCACCTCCCTAGTACACCCACCTGGAGGTAGGCCACCTAGTACACCCACCTTGAGGTAGGCCACCTCCCTAGTACACCAACCTTGAGGTAGGCCACCTCCCTAGTACACCCACCTTGAGGTAGGCCACCTCCCTAGTACACCCACCTGGAGNACCTGAGCAGCACACTCTGCTCACCTGAGCAGCACACTCTGCTCACCTGAGCAGCACACTCTGCTCACCTGAGCAGCACACTCTGCTCACCTGAGCAGCACACTCTGCTCACCTGAGCAGCACACTCTGCTCACCTGAGCAGCACGACGCGGTCGCTGCAGAAGGACGACGTCAGGAGGTCAGGGTAGCCGTTGTTGTCGAGGTCGAGGCCGCCGCTGAGGGCGTAGCCGAACGCGTCGTACGCTCGCCCAGGCAGATCTGCGGCGCGTATCACCTGCAATAAGAAGCGTATATTGAATTCAAATGTATAGGCTGTTAAAATATACAAATGTATAGGTTGTTACAATATACGAGGTCGTTTAAAACCGGTGGAGGTGAGGTAGTTGGCGTCGGTGGGTGCGACGCAGGAAATTAAGGCAACTTAGCGTGGTCAGAGCAAACGTGCGCATTACATGGAATATAGTGGATATTTGTTGAACATAAGGCGCACAAGATGACACGCACGTGGGTGACAGTGATCAACAGTCGAATCTTTAAGAGACTTGGGCTCATAAGCAGAGGGCCGGGGCACCAGACCGTCAGCAGACCCCAGTACCTGAGAGGGCTGCAGCACCAGACCGTCAGCAGACCCCAGTACCTGAGAGGGCTCGAGCACCAGACCGTCAGCAGACCCCAGTACCTGAGAGGGCTCGAGCACCTGTCTCTTATACACATCTAGATGTGTATAAGAGACAGCCTTGAGGTAGGCCACCTCCCTAGTACACCCACCTTGAGGTAGGCCACCTAGTACACCCACCTTGAGGTAGGCCACCTCCCTAGTACACTGGTGCCGCCCCATGTCCTCAGGGCGCAGTTGGATCTTCTTCTTGACGACGGAGGTCTGCGTGGTTCCTTCCTTCTCGAAGTAAACACGCGGCAGAGGTTGGTCGCGATACACCAGCTCCTCGATGCTGTAGGACAGCAGCAGTCCTGTACGAGTGCCTGCGTCGTTGTCCATCTTGAAGCAAGCCTCGAACGAGAAGCTGGAGGACGGGAGAAAGTTTGTAAATTGTTATGAGAACAGCAATGGGAGGAAGATAGTTCAAGACTTTTAATATTAATCTTAGTCAACAATCAAGCCTCGAACGAGAAGCTGGAGGACGGTAGAAAGTTTTTAATTTCACATGAGAACAGCGAGGGGCGGAAGATAGTTCAAGACTTTTAGTATCAATCTTACTCAACAATCAAGCCTCGAACGAGAAGCTGCAGGACGGTAGAAAGTTCTTAATTTGTTATGAGAACAGCGATGGGCGGAAGATAGTTCAAGACTTTCAATATTCATCTTAGTAAAAAATCAAGCCTCGAACGAGAATTAAGCTGAGGGACGGGCAAGCGTTTTGAATTTTTCCTCAAAAAAGCGAATGGCAGCAGAAAATTCGTAACTCTCAGTACCGAGACGCTAAGAGACATTAAACGTCATGGAGAATTGCTAAATATCCTATCGTCTTGCTATCTTTAACCGTCAACAAGCAAGCAAATAATGAGTAACTATAGGATCAACAAAGTTTTGAATTTATCAAAAGTAATAAGAATTAGAGTGTAATTAGTGGCGTGGTGGCACCAGGCCAGTAATGAGATGGTACCTCGTCGTCAACAACCACGTTTTGAGGCTACTCATGATAAACAGAATACACGTCGGAAATGTGAATCGTAGATAGCGATGCCGAGGACTTTTTCATACCTCCATATTCATAGGAGTGAGAAGGTATTAGCCATTTAGGATAGAGCAATATCGAATCATTTTCTATCTATACTTTCCTTCAAATTATTGTGGGGCAAAAAAAAAACTCCAACCTAAATATGGCTAGGAAACCCCTTGTAATTTTCAACCCAAAAACTTCGCGATTCATTCATTAAAAAAAACAGTAGCAAGCGATGAACGTATTTCATGAGTCAGAATAAATAAATAACTTGATTATTATAAATGATATATTTTTAAAAAATTAACCAATTAAGCTCGTAGCTCACCAGGTGTCTTCGGATCCCTGGTCGTCAGGACAGCCCGGCTTTGTAGGATCGATGTTGCGGGGACCTCCTTCAGGCAGCACGATCGTCTGGATCATGATCACTGGTCGCGCTCTGATTGACCATCAACACAATTTAGGAAAAGAAATAAATATTCATTACCTATCGTCGAAAAAATGTTTCTCATGGACAAAACCATCGCGTTAGACTGGAAGCAAAACTCTTCAAACTATGAAATTCTCTCCATTTGAAGAGAGTTAGAGAAAGCAACTCCCTTCTCAAGCTGGAATAAGGATGAATATATTCAGAGATTTAAATTTATTGTTGGATTTGCACACTCTGCTCGCCTGAGCAGCACACTCTGCTCACCTGAGCAGCACACTCTGCTCACCTGAGCACCTGTCTCTTATACACATCTAGATGTGTATAAGAGACAGGATGTAGATGGCGCCCCTGTCCTCGTAGGGCGCGCCGATGGCCACGTCAAGGTAACCGTCGCGGTTGAGGTCGCCCAGCGAAGTCATCGAGAAGCCAAATCTGCTCTCGCCGGCGGGACCTGTGAGCGTCGGAGAGGTGCGTTAGTGGAGGGGAAAAGCATGCAAACCTGCCATAGGCTGAAATAATCTGATGATAAATTGAGTAAGAAGCTGGAAGTTACCTTCTATTCTTGAGTACATGTGGTTCTTCTTGATGCCATCTTGGTTATTGATGTAGACGTACACCGCTCCTGAGTTGTGTTTCGTGTAGTAGAAGGGGGCGCTCACCAACAGGTCGTCGAATCTGAGACGACACGAGAAAGAGTGGCTTCAGTGCATGAAAAATCAATGAAATGGGATTGATTGATCCATGTTGATTCTATCCCGGGAACAGAACGAGAAGTTAACATCAGTTTCAAAATAAGTATAGGTACTCGGAAATATTTTCCTTACGGTAGACAGCTTCGGATGATTGTAGATAGTTTAATATTATGGGCTCAGATAAATTCCTGAATGGGCAACGGATTCAAGATTTGGATATTTATTTTCAGGATCCACTTGACATTGTTATGACGGGTACCCTTCCATATTAATATCGAGGCCGAGTGCCTCGGAGCCGAAGCTGGAGGGAACATCTGAACATGTTCAAGATCCACTCAACATTGCTATGACACTCACCCGTCTCTATTGATGTCGAGGCCGAGCACCTCGAAGCCGAAGCTGGAGGGAACATCTGAACATGTTCAAGATCCACTTAACATTGCTATGACACTCACCCGTCTCTATTGATGTCGAGGCCGAGCACCTCGAAGCCGAAGCTGGAGGCGAACATCTCGCCGTCCAAGACGAGGTCGACCACCAGGAGACTTTCGCCGATCTTGGCACGCGAGAAGAAGACCACCTGACCGGTGCCGTTGGAGCGCGGGGCGCCGCCTACGTACGACACGTAGTCGCCGAAGAAGTAGCCCGTCGTCACCGAGTAGCCTGGGAGAGTAGAAGTAAACGCAATGTGGTTAGTGGCTGCCAGGAAAATGAGTTGAAATTCAAGAAGTAGCTCGTCGTCACCGAGTAGTTACGAACGTTAGCAGTAAGTAATGTAACTGATGATAGCCAGGTATATCCGAGTCAAAAGAAGCTTAAGGTTCTCCCGGCAGGATCCTGAGTTGACCATGCTACTACAAACTTGTTCTCGGCTACGATCACACCACGGTAGTTCCTTGGCATCCTACTCGACCATTAGGAAGAGGCGCTCGCCAAACCCCAAATGCCCTCAGAGCGGAACACATCCCGATTCACTCAGCACCTCTTCCACTGTCTATCCATTCTCACAGCCTTTTTCTTATGGGACAGTCCCATGCAGGCGGCTGCCTCACGATTTTGCTCCCCACCTCTTCCCTCATCCTACTGCGATCTCACCACCGCCACTAGAGCCATCCCCTTAGCACGCATAGACACTGTTCCACGGCAGCATGAGGTCGTCTGCCTTTAAGCGATTATCACAGTAAAGCCATAACTGTATAAAGCTTCACAGGTACAGGGGAAATACGATGTAGAAGTTTCAACTTTTTCGTCGTTGCAATATAATCTACAAGGTGTGTTTCATCGAGTGTTTCAAAACTAGAACATCCGCAAAAAAGATGATTATACGAATATAAAATCCACTGAACACTCTTGAGTTAAGATGAAACCCAATGCCACGAAGACTTTGATTGTGCGAATGAAACATTTTCAACAGCTTAAATTTTTAAACAACCGCTTAAATTCCCACGCTAAAACCTAATACTTTCATCCAAAAAGAGTCTACAAAAAATTCACGACATGCGTGTATCTGTGGTTCGCCTCCTACGACTGGCAGGATAATGGAGAGGATTAACAGGAGTTCTGATAAAACTCACCGAGGTAGCTGTACTTGTCCACGGGAGAATCGTTTTCTGTGACGGGCCCAAAATATTGCGTCTTGTCTCTGAGCAAAAAGTTTTTCGAGATATTGGAGGTGTGGACGGTCCCCCGCCAGGTGTAGGGGCCTGGGAGCCCCAGCACCACCTCATCGTCGAGGATGAGGCCACTCATCCCTGCCTGGCAGAACCCGTACTGCTGATGACCTCTGTGGGGCGTACACAAGAAATTCGCTGAACAAACGACACATGAAGCCAAGCTAAAAAACGTAAGTCTACTTCAAACCTCGCCATTTACTTATTAATAATCAAGTATCGCGCTGGGCGTCGGCTCATATATAAAATGCAACATGGCAGGCACTCACTTGGCGACGGCTTTGCCCCTGCAAGGCTCCATAGAGTCCATCACGTCCAGCTTTTGGTTGAGCAAATAACAAAGACCGAAGCCCCACTGGAAGCCTGGCCCGCGGTGCATGTAGCGATGCGCGCACACCTGGGCACGGGGTTACGAAAACATTGAATTATTGGAAAAAATGAAATCAAATTTTTGAGACGCATAATTATTGAATAAAAAGTCTGGCACTGGGAAATTTAATTTTAGAGCGGTGCGATGAAGACTAAACTGACGTGCACAGGAGCAGTAAACATTTATCATAAGTCCTCAAAACGATGGAACTAATTAATCAAAAAGCGGCTGAAAAATTGCAGAGTAGCAGCCATTGCAATAATTAAACTCGTGACGTTTGAGGCAGCTTATAACTGACATAGGAAGCGAACATAAATATGGGTTCATAATAAACGAAATCCGTGGGAACTGATTGAGAAACTGTGCGTAACTGTAACGATGAACTGAACTGACGAAGAGCCAATAACCATGCAGCACGTCACCACCAACCGACTCTTCACCGTCACGCCCAGCCATTGGTCGTCTTTGATCTCATCGTCGTTGGGCGGCAGCAGGTTCTCGTTGGCGTCTGAGCAACACAAGGCGAAAATCAGAATAATACTTCATGGCGTTTAATTATAACTAAAGATAAGATTGAGTTGTTTTACTAAATATTTAGATTTAACACTTCGTTTTCAATTTCGCATATTTGTTTCGAAGAATAATGAAATAAGTCAGCTTCGTATAATTCTATTTATTTTCACCTAGAAAATAATCTTCAGATTATTAAAAATCACTTGTGTGCTGTAACACCAAAAATCTGTGAATCCGAAGTAAACAGAATTACAAGTATATAGACTGACTGGAGTTGCAAACTAAACTTGACACGTATATAATTAGAGAACATTTCAGCCTCTAAAGTTAACGCGAAGATTCAATAATGAATCAGCCGCTACCATGCATGGCTCGCAGATATTCTGGAGCTAATCAAAGCGCTTATTTCTAGTGTAAAATTTGCGTAAACAATTTAAATAATTTTCACATGCACAGCTGAAATCTAATAATTTTACTTATCTCGAAAAAACGTGATTTTAGATGGAATGCAAACTTTATTCAGGTTAATGTGAGTAATTGAATTTTAAGTGAAGTTCAAGCACTTAACGTCACAAACATTATAAAACTTCATCTAAATTTTGGACTGCGCAAAACGCTCAAAGCTTAGAATGCTTTATGGAAAAGCATGACGCTGGGCTAAGTTATAGCAACTCAAAATCTGGAGCGTGAAAATAAATAGAAATTTAATTTCTTTCACAGGATGTTTTCTATTTTGAAATTTTATTCACTTAAACAGAAAGCTTCATAGTTGTAGTCGTGTAGATCAGATTATTCAACGCAAAACCTGGCTGTGGCCAAATATCGGCGGGCAATAGGTGGCCGTCGGTCGGTCGCCATTGCGTTATTTTTTAGCAGGAATTAAGATTCGAAATATTCTAAAAAATAGCCACTTTGTAAAGAACTGTTTTATTTATGAATAATTATATTCAAATTTTAATTTTTCTAGCTGACCCGTTAACGTACCGAGACTAACGTTAAAGATATGAAATCTAAATTAGAATAAAAACTTTAAAAATAACCTAGTGTTTTTTTCTCACTGCGCAAGTTAATTTCAACGTTGAAATTAACCGCGTACGCTTTAAATATAGGATACAAAGTGCTCATGTGTTGGTGCAAATTCAGTGCCTAGTATTTCTCGTTGGAGTGTGTAAAACATTTCCAGATCAGTGATGACATCGAAGATTCACAAGCAAAGGCAATGCATTTACAACGGCCAAAAACCAGGCCATTTGGTGGCACAAAGCAACCGCTGCAGGTTTTTGCAGCTCATTTACAGCAGAAGCTCGAAGAATTTATTATTATTAAAATAAACCAGTTTATCCCGAGAGAGAGAGAGAAAAGTATTTGACAAAACCAAGTCATTTCCCACATAGGCACAGAAGATAAATGAATTCTTGTGTACGAATATTTCATATACAGTTTGCTAATATACAAAGATAATATCTGGGCCGAAATTTGAACATTTACAGAACTCACGGCAATTTATACAGTTGAATTTGTGGAGCGGCATTGACGATTCTTATTATCGAGTTCCAAGCTTTGTACAGATATACAGATATTATACAAACCACGGCGCTTCCGTATTGGTGAGACGTACCTCATTTGCAAAATTCTTCGTGTATTATTAGTCAAAGATTAAACCTAGTCCCGATTAATGACCGAAACTTGAGAAGTATTGTATGATATCAAAGTATGAGTTTGTTGGAGAGTTAATTTATGAACCACATAATTGTACACGTATCCCCTATAATACCTTGTTAAAAAGTAACGCTTGGTCATGGCAAGCCGACCGTCGGCCATTTAGTGTCCATCGCAAAGCATTATATTCGCATTGAGAATGTGGCAGGAGCGATAACATTCCTTGCATATTATTCGCGCACAATGACAGCTTTTCATTTTAAATGCAAGAATTTTTTGTGCTATCCTATGTAAGCGAGATCCCAACTCTGCGTAACAGTAAATTGAGTGGCACTCAATTTTGCTGCGAACCTAAACTTTAAAAAAATACGAAGTCAGAAATCCAATTTCATTCATCACAGTTACGCCTTTTTATGATTGCTACGAAAATACAAATGAAAATACAACCAACGTTACAAGTTCGTTATTATTGATGAATTTTCGCCCTTATAATGACGTCAAATGCAAACGCGTATTGAATGTTATAGGTAAAAATTTACACGATCAACAGTTTCTTCAAGTCATGCACACCAACCACCTAATTATTATGTTCACGATGAACTCATGAATGTACAAGCCTTTTTAATGAACGTTTAAAGTAAAATTAGTATTATTATAAATAAATACACAACGGTATTAATAGAGCATTCCAACAGCAATGAATAATATTTTCATGCACAGTTAATCTTGCTTAAGAATAAAGTTAGTACTGGTATTAATAAGATTTTTATTAACGAGCAGATGTGAGTCATGCGTTATCATATGAACAATTCACAGGCACAATACACCAGACATAAGCTGCATGTATAATTATAATACCTCATGCATGACGCCAGCTCCACACTCAAAATTATCACCTTCAAACTCCTCATTATATGAAAATTATTGAAAGTCGATTTCGAATGGTTAATGCACGTGCCCTGGCAATTAAGCATAATGGCTATCCTGACATTGTAACAATGTGCAGTGCCAGTCATCACAATGATATTGAATAATGCAGGTTAACTTTACCTCACTTAAAGCATTCTTATCACTCACCTGCCACAGGAGCGACCGCACACCCACCGGCCCAAGTGAACATTACAGGAAAATTTCTCGTATATGATGAATGAAAAAATAGAACGAATGGAAAACAAATTTTTTCTTGAACCAATCACAGCAAAAATTGAAAAATTTCCAACAGGAAAGTTAGGAGCTTGTTTTATAATATAAAAAATATATAAAAGTATGAAGTTTAAATCACATGAACAAATTGTGGCTAAGAAAATTTTGGCCGGAAGAACTGTACGAAAAGCCTCGATACAGGACGGGGTGACAAATAGAACACAACTTAGCAAAAGAGAAGATAACAAATAATCACGGCATTAACCTAAATTAGAACAATTAATAAGACAGCAAAAACAATAAACAATGAAGCAACAACAGGGCTTAATTGATCGAGGAGAATGTATGAAATGAATAAGAGATGCATCACAAAGTACGTCAGTTATCCCTTATATCTGGGACCCTATAATATCTTGGATAAGAATTATAATTTGTGATATCAAAATGGGTTCCAAAGTAAACCAATTTCTTAATAAGTTGACATTAGTTAGTTAAGGAACCTATCAATTTAATAAACTTTATCAAGATTATTATTAATACTTTTGAAAATGCAATTGGGATACCGAAGCCACAATCAGCCTCAGGAGTCAGGCTACCCCATACGTACATAGCGCAGCGTTCGAATAGAATTAGTTGTGAATGTTGGGGTGGAGAGCCTTACCTTGATTGCCTTTTTATTATTTTAAGGTTGTATTAAAAAGTCAAAATCTTGGTATGAAGAAGTAGAGTGTGTAAATTTGAATGAAGAAAATGTATGTAGTTAACTATCGAATGGACTTCGCTGTACAAGTAGACTCTTAAGAGAAGGCTTGAGACCAATAAATTAGTCAAACACGCTCGAAACAAACAGTGCAGAATCAGATTGTTACATGACTCGACCAAGTCATGGTTGAATAGGCACACATTTACTTCCATTAATATCACCTCCGTAAGAAATCGAGACGTACAGAAAAATTTTGCTTTTAATGCGGAAAAACGAGAAATTAACAATCAACTCTCAAAGATTTGTCGCAGAAAATTAAATCAATAATCGTTATAGGTTGAATATCGCCTTTAGTTTTTGCATAGAGATTTGCACGTTGCACCCGATTAGCGATTCTAAGAGCATAATGACCTTTGCAAACCTTCAGCCCCGACGTTCAAATCGACGATTTCATGCAAAGATTTAACAACTCTCTAAGTATAGGAATAAGACAAAATTCTAACTGGCATGTTACACACAAAAATGAAAACAACAAAACAAACAAAAAAAAAACGTACCGGATGTGGCAAGTGCGCACAAGCTTGCAAGTGTGTGCATCTGGACACACAGAGAATAAGGTTCTATAACAACACGAACAGCAGACACTCTATTTTAAAACTGAAATAACACAAGATAACGAATGAAGCGAAGAAAAAAATTTATAGATTTTGAAACGGACAAACTCGAACTTAAATAAAAATAGAAGTTTGTATTAACTAAAAATCAGTTAGAATGAACAAAAAAGTTAATAAAAAAATATTAATTAAAAAATCCATGTTGTTAGGAACGATTTTTCTCTGTGTACTCAAGAAGAGTCGTCTCACTCTCAAGCTTAAAGCAAAAATGCATTCAAAAGTAACATAATAACTAAAGGGAAGTCAGCGAAGACTTCACGCGTAGGCAACTTACAGAAAAAGTCGTAGAGGCCTGAATCCGGATCTGCAAGAGTGACGATACAAACAGACACGTGGTCAGTACGCCAGCACAATAAGTCTATAGTTTGGCCAGTGATTTCTAGAGTCATTCTCCCGCTGTACGTCGCAACCAGCAATTAACGGAAAAACTGGCGTCGTATTTCAGCTACTTTGAGCTAAGTAGATAATTAACGAGATGTTGAGGCCGGTAACCAGTACATGTTGCCATGCAGCTAAAACGTTACTGGAATGTTCATTCGGTATTTTAATGTTACCGATATTTGATCTAGTCAAAAACTGATGACGCTACGAGAAAATTAGCTCAAAAATTTAATTTTTATAGTTAAATGTCGTTAGAATTAAACCGTGAGTTTTTCTTTGTAAGGAAAAAAATTCAGGCTCACAAGCCAGTAACTTCTCCCGTAATTGGACGGCATTGACATACAGTGCGAAGAGGACTTGAAACGATCGAGCTAAAGAGCTCGATCTTGGATCAACATAATTATCAATTATGCCAAATTATTAATAAATGAAGCAGTTTTGGGTTACTCAATAAAAGACAGCTATTTGATACTCAAGAAAGAGTACAGGGCAAGGAGAAATGGAAAAGAAATTGAGTAAAACATCAATATATATATATATATATAAATGTAAATTAACAAATGAAATAAAGAGACAGAGTGAGGAAGGAGCTACAGTCGTCACTGGAAACGCAGAGCTTTTGCTACCTTGTAAAACATTTTACTTTTCACACTCAATAATCCCAAGGAAGGTGTTGAACTAAAACGTCTCATCAACGGATCAACTTGCGAGTGCGACGGATGCAAGTAACACAATTGTGAATGCTGAAAGATATAGCATGCATGTTTGTATTGGATGGTATTCAATATGGGTTGGTGGCCGTGTCATATTAAATATGGGGTGGGTGGCCGTGTTATATTCAATATGGGGTGGGTGGCCGTGTTATATTCAATATGGGGTGGGTGGCCGTGTTATATTCAATATGGGGCTGGTGGCCGTGTTATATTAAATATGGGGTTGGTGGCCGTGTTATATTCAATATGGGGCTGGTGGCCGTGTTATATTCAATATGGGGCTGGTGGCCGTGTTATATTAAATATGGGGCTGGTGGCCGTGTTATATTAAATATGGGGTTGGTGGCCGTGTTATATTAAATATGGGGCTGGTGGCCGTGTTATATTCAATATGGGTTGGTGGCCGTGTTTGTGTGGAATGCTTGATGGCTGCTTGTGGCATCGACATTAGGGAAATACTTAGGCTTAAGTAAACGTTCAGGATCCTGGTGGGTCAACATTTATACACCTGAGCGTGACTCCATTGATCTCTTTCAGGCACATAGCTTCTGAAAAAAAGTACTATCCTCCTCGAAAAATTAAAGGCATTTCAGCGCAGGCCAACGTTTGCTATTCTTCGGCCACCTCTACAACGTACGTTATTTTTTTTAAAACGGGAAGGGTCGAGTAATTTTTGGCTTCATGCGGTGAGCTTTTCTAGGTATTGAGACAACGTCCTTTGTGTTCGTCTGGAATAAGGAAAAGATCTGTAGAATACGTGCCATGTGAGCTACAGGAGTCCCTCCTCTGACTTGACCACACGCAATGTTAGGCCGGCGTCCAGAGAACCGCCACAGCTTTAGACACTTCGCAACGAGTGAAATGTTTGGTGGGATTGTCTTATTCTCACCGAAATGTTGTTTCAAAAGAGTCAAAGTCTTGATATCAACACCCATATTGTGTACAGAATAACAAAGGAAAATTAACAGTTTACTGTTTTTTAGTGAACTTTAAGTAAATAGACCGAAATGCTTTTGTTTGAGCATCATTATGAACTTCGGGGATGGCATGTTCATCAGCTGGTACGTTGAACTCAACTGATTGGAAGATTTCGAGTGAAAAATACTCTTTTTCACGGTAATTGCGGTCCGTAAAATCGTCAACCATTCAGCTATCAAATGATTTTGAATTATTACAGCTAGTAAATACATAGTAATAAAAATTTTTTATTTATTTTATATTTATATATTTATCTACCGATTTTATATTTAAATATTTATATTATAGTAATGAAAGTACCAATTAAATATAGGACTCGGCGCTCCTCATGATGCCAAGTCATCAGTTCCTCTGAAAGCCACTTCTGTATAACAATTGTTTCAATCCACTGATAGAAAAAAACTTTGCGCAGATAAGAAGGTTGAGCTGAAGACTTGCTTGCATCTGCCTTCGAAGTCTACGCTTTCATCGGTACGACCCCAAGTTAAAAAAAAATTATACATTTTAAAGCAAAAGCGACAACACACAACGGTTGGACCCAAAAACTCTGCGTTCACAGTGACAAAGATATAATTAAAAGGAAGAAATAATAAAACATGAACAAATAGCTATAAAAAATATTACACGGAGAGAGTGCACAGAAATTTAAAACACATATGATTGGCAAGAATTCATCACTGACAGTAAACGAAGTTCGGCAGTCAAAAGTCAAAGCGTTTAAGTGTTTGGAAGTTTGTGAACTAGCAATTATATATTCAAAAGTGGCAAGCATCATCTGCACAGTAGCAAAACCCATCAAACATATAACACGCTTTAGACGGAGAGATTTGAAACATTAGAACAGCAAACATTTCATGACTTTATGTGAGAAACAGATACATCGATGACGACATTCAGAAGTGACTCAAGCAAGTATTATGGAACAATGCTGAGAATGTTGAAGAAGACCACTGATTTAGTAAAATAAAATAACAACAACGACTAACATCAGAGTTTAAAACGCGTGGGTTAGCTATTGATAGGTTTGTGATCATGGCTGTTTCAGATGATGGTAGCCCTGGTCGAAATTGGGGGTCGAAAATAAGTCTTGGTTTGAATATTGTCCTTCAATATGAATATGACAAGAACGTTAGTAGAATGTCCGTAGAGCTTGTCAGGCAGAGTAGTTGATAACATTCAATTATGGCTTATAGTCAAGAAAGGCGAATCTTAAAAATATATATATAAATAGACAACTGAATACATCTACGTCCAGAGGATTATAGCTACGATTACAAGTCAGTCACCGCAGTCTCGCCAGTCCCAACTCAGGTGTTATTTGTGAGAACCGCACTGCAACTTGGATACTTTATATAAGTTGGAGTTTATTCTTGAAGAACACATACATATGTTGCAGACAACCACATGGACAGAAGTCGCGTGGAAGTTCGTTTATACATTCATGGTCCTGTCTATGTGTTGTTCAAGCATACATAGAGCGCGGTTGTGAGTTGGCCTTGCATTTCGGTTAGTTAAGTAGTGGTAATTAACAGCAGGGGATTACCCAACAGTTAGGTTGTAGGTTGTACTTAACAGTAAAGTAATATTTGGAAGTAAAGATAATCAAGAGAATTGAATATTTATTGTAGAGAATTTAGTACGGTAGGTGTCTTCTGCAGAAATCTATTGTTCAGTTCAGTAAATTGGTGAATCAAGATGGGAGCATATACTGTGGTGGTGATGGTGTTGACGACGCTAGTAAAGGCTGTAGTACAATGCTAGTGGTATTACATACAAGTCTACCTACATGTTGATGAGTTTCACTTACGTAAGTCATTTGTCGCAGCTATAGTCCAAAGAGAGATGTTTATTTGTACTATTGTTGTTACCTAACATAGTCACAATTGGGTGCTGCTGGGTGCACAATTCATGACAGAATTTTTCGACTCGAGGCAGAAGTTTATACAGAACATTTAGACTTGAACCTGAGATGACGGAAAAGTACATCATTTCAGCTCCTTAGGTATGCTTGATGATTAGAAACAAAATTTATTATAATAATATATGAAAATTTACTTGTACAAAGAAGACAAATAACTTCAACAATAGTTTGTGCACTCATTGCGGATCTGTTGATAATTCTATGTCTGTACTATGGAGTCCATTTAATCTTCTTTGCCACAACAGTTATACGAAGGAATATTATTCATTTCCATGAATAAATTCCTTAATTAGTAAAAAGTATGTCAAAGGTCTAATTGTCAGTCGGCAACAAAATGAAGTCTGTGAGTGGAGCTGCAGTGAGAAGGTGCTGGATTCAACAGCTGCTTGTAATAATAATCCAACGTACGACAACTGGCACTAATAGAAGAGTCAGTGAACAAGATACTAGTACAACATCTCAACGAAGGAGCACATATGTTCAAAGCAAGCTGCAGTATTGCATATGAACAGTTATATAGCAGCAACTTTCCATCAAGATATACAGATAAAAACTGTTTCATACCTAGTGTCAAAAAGCGATCGAATCGTACGTTCTAGCAAGTCATACATTGTTACCGATTGAGCTGCAGGTCCATCAGGTTGGCTTCTGCTAACAGCATCACACAAACACTCGAAACAACCTCACAAACACCAATCCCCACACAAACAACAACACCCACACAACAACACCCACACAACAACACCACACACAACAACACCCACACAAACACCAACCTCCATACACGTTTTGTAACAATTCTTCGTGAACCACTTTTACGTTTGTACCGCACGTAACCAAGGCTTCTGGATACCAATATCTTCAGGAAATTTCTACAAAATCTTTGAATGACTTGTGGAAATTCACGGAGTATGAGTAAAATAAACCTGCCTTTTATATTATGAAAAGTAAATCATTTCAGAATTAAGGAAACGTTATCTCAAAGTGTACATTCATTATCTAGCGATTCAGAGAGGGACATGTATGATTGTTTATTTAAATTGGTGAGAAGAGTAACAAGTTTTTAAAACTAAAAATTTAAAACATTGCATATTTGATTGATACATTTAAAATGTCAAAATTTCAACCATTTTTTTATTGAGCATTTAGTGCGACAACAAAGAGCAAGGAAAAAATAACTGAGCCAACATTTTCCGCAATCGCGTCGAATGAAATAAAATAATTTATTTCACGGATAAAGCCTGTGCTGCAGATCCTGCACAAACTTGAAAACACGATATTCACAAACAATACAGGAAGAGTACGAACAAAGCTACAGCCATTTACACACCCACAAACTACACCACATCAAAACCCACACATTTCCGACATGTACCTACCCACAATTAAAACAAATTTCCAGCACACAAATCCCCGTGTACAACTTTAATAAACTCGTCCTCTGCAAAGCAGTCGTTAAAATCACATCGTAAGGTCGGAGCGTGGAAAATTGACAAGAAACAGTCTAATAGTGCGAGCTTTATTCGTACAGTCGGACAAAAAAGAATGCACATTTATGATTTCGTGGCCGTGCGAGCTCCGTTCGTACAGTCAGACAGAAAAGAATGTATTTCGTGGCCGCAGTCTTGACAGTTGGTCGGCAGAGCAGGGCGTGCGGTCACAGTTTCGTCGTGATAAATACTGTTAGTTATACTCATACTTGTCCAGTGTGTCGTTGGTATCCAGGATGCGGTCTCATGACCCTCCATCAGCGCATAATGCAGGTTGGTAAAGAATTCTAGCTAACGATCGGGCGATCTAAATTCTTTAGCAAGACATGTAGTTGATCGGTGCATCATACTTTGCATGATATCAATGCAACAATATATCATTAGGAATTCCATTAATATAGATACATCAGCAACTTTAATAAACTCGTCCTCTGCAAAGCAGTCGTTAAAATCACATTGCAAGGTCGGGGCGTGGAAAATTGACCAGAAACAGTCTAATAGTGCGAGCTTTATTCGTACAGTCGTACAGGAAAAAATGCACATGTATGACTTCGTGGCCGCAGTCATAACAGTTGGTCGGCACAGTACGGCGTGCGGTCACAGTTTCGTCGTGATAAATACTGTTATTTATATTCATACTTGTCCGGTGTGTCGTTGGTATCCAGGATGCGGTCTCATGACCCACCTTTGAAGCCGTCGGTGTGGACCTGGACGCAGTCGGAGGAGTTGGACGTGAAGGGACACTTCCAGAGGGCGCCCGAGCGGTGCGTGCCAGGCTGCAGGTTGTGGTCCTTCGGAGCGCCCACAAGAAGCCTGACAAGAAAAAAAACGAGTATAATGAAAATTAATGATAACATTCAAACGTCAAGTGTTCCTATTTACGGTCATTAATAACCATAATTATTTAAAGTCGACAGATAACTTTTATTTATTTTATCCAGAGGGATGAAGGTCTGAAGAAAAAGCTCAAAATAAGTCCGACACTAAGTAATGATGTTCGATATTTATATCACAAATTCAACAGGTAGCGACAGCTGACATACACATTAACAGGTAAATTAATGTTGCTTCAAGTTTATAAAAACATAAAAACTTAAAAAATATAGACGCTTGATTATCATAAAACTCAAATGATGAAATAAAGGCCAAAAATTATAAAATAAAAAAACTTACAATTGCGCATTTTTCTAATTTCGGTCAGCTCGTTAGCGAAAGAAACTCGGGCAAAGAAAGCGGCAATCTTGCTGGCCAGTTTGGTCTCGGGAGCTAATTTGTCAGGTGGCAGAACCTACAGACCAGACGCCTGATAATGAGACTGGGGTCCTGATAATGGATGAAGCTTCAACAGCAACTTCCCGTATCACCGTAACCAAGTCGCCCCTAACGACCTGTCCGATCCTGATCGATTCCTGCTCCGATTTTATAGCGCTGCCTCCGTAAGAAATACCGTTATTGAACAAGTATTGGAATTAAATGGTTGATATTATGTGGCAATGTGGGTTACAATTGCAAGTTATCTGTAAAATAAGGGAAGCATTATAATTTTATGTAATTATTTACCGATGGTTAACCAGTAATATTCAAAAGGACGATAGTGAAATAAACAATCATGCATCAGGATGCTACTCTGAGACACAAGAGAAGTTTTTTGCCTTCCACTAACGACTTCTTGACCCAACAATGCGGATCAACCTGGTGATTTATCAACGTAACTACGTGGCAAACCATCAGCGCATAATGCAGGTTGGTAAAGAATTCTAGCTAACGATCGGGCGATCTAAATTCTTTAGCAAGACATGTAGTTGATCGGTGCATCATATTTTGCATGATATCAATACAACAATATATCATTAGGAATTCCATTAATATAGATACATCAGCAACTTTAATAAACTTTTTTATTTTCTCGGTATTTTCCGTTGTCTATAAGTGGTCCCAATCTTTAAATTTACTTCAGTATAGAGACAGCCACATCGCTCTTTCCATCATTATTTATTATGACTGACAAGTAAGACGTTCGATACTTGTGGCCAACGGTGCGTGCTCCACGCAGCACAATGCCACCGTATTCAGAAACTGAAGTTTGAAACTATAAACAACGATATATCGACGAAGATTTTGAATAGGGTAGCTGAGCATCGCAAGTCATGCCGTGGCTAAGCTCAAGTGATTTTTTAAGCGGTAAGAAGAGTTTGTTGAAGGATGGCAGGCATGCCATCAAGTGAATGGAATATTAAGAGATGCCTCAACAAACTTCACGAGCCGACACAAGCTCGATCTTTTGCGGTGCTTTCTTCGTCGTCTTACGAAAGCTTTTGTCCGCATGAAGTTCATGATAAAAAATCTAACGCTCATCGTAAGAGTCTCGGTCGACCAACAAAAGACGAACTTCTATAAGAAGCTGTAGGGAAAAACCTACTGGTGCTGATACGAAAACAGTTTTCATTACGGAATAATTACAAAGCGCTAAGAAAAACTTCAACCTTTTGATCAATTTTCTCTATATTTGGAGCAGGAAATTACCAGACTGATTTGTGAAACCTCGCCAATCAAAAACACGCATAACTCATGAAAATTACTATATTTTTAGCAGGTCTTATGACACTATGCAATTGAATTGGAAAAATACTCAACAAAATACCATAGCAAAAAATAGAATAGTATTCTTTAATTGTAGACCTAGAACTGTTAATGGATCGAGATACAATGGCATTATTTGGTGATAATAATGCAAACAAATCTAAGGTTTTCTTAGCGCACTAATCCCATACTATCCAGACGCCTATCAAATCCGTTCATGAAATTTTTCATTGACTGAGCACAGTTACTTGCATTCCACGCTGGACTGAAACATTGAGTCTAGAAATCGCTTGCTGGAAAAAATGTGAGCTGAAGACCAAATGCACATGCCACTGCAAAGAGACGATGTCAGAGCCGGGGCCGGAACTTCAAAGACCGTGAAGCTGTCAACAGCGATAAAGCCTCTCATAACCTGTCATTTTCACAGAACAAACACACTCATTTGTGATCAAGGTGCCGGAACTTCAAAGACCGTGAAGCTGTCAACAACGATAAAGCCTCTCATAACCTGTCATTTTCACAGAACAAACACACCCATTTGTGATCAAGGCACTGGGTTGCAGGTCGAGCTTTGTGCCTCAAGCAGGTACAGCGAGCGCGGCACGATGCTAAGTTCTCAATCTATATACTCTTGAAAATAAGACTCGCGTTTGAGCCTTAATTTCAACTGCCCATCCATCACCCGCCCTCAAACACGCCGAGATGTGGTTATGAAATTATTAACAGGAAAACAAAAAGCATCGATGGCCGCTATCAAGATTACACGAAACCTGCAATGCACCTCAGAATCCTCCTGTAATCGAACCGACTTTATCGCTCTTCGCTGACAACAAAACAAAAGGCCGAAACGCTCGTCCAGAAGATGAAAACGAAACCGCGACAGTTTCTCTCCGCGAGTGTGACATTTTCCATCAGATTACTGACCAAAGCCTGGGGCGAAGTGGTGTAAACGAGGATACTTGACGACCAGCGACACGTTAGCCCGAGTGATGACGGTCTCGTTTCAGAACTTGGATGCGTTAAGATATTAGTAGGCTGTAGGATATATGTGAGCAACATTAGAAGGCATTTGTTATTATACTATATAACTATATACATTTCATATAATTCCTCGCCTGTAGTACTGAATAGAGGCGATACAGATCTTAGTTAAAGCTAAGACATAACGCATCAAAGTCTCCACACCAGCTATTTAATTGATTGCCTGTACGCCTGTCAGGATTTTTATCTCCGAGTGTAATGTTAATAAAAACGATCAAACTGTCGTCAACTAAATTCATAATTAATCGTACAAAAATAACGTAACTGTAGAATTCTGCGCTTCGAGAATCACTAGCACGTTCGCTCATAGCAATCGTAAATCCCGGCACTTGGACCACAACAAGAATGAACATCATTTTAAAGTAAAATACTCGTTCTTCTCAACCGTGTTCCGACATCAACAAACTCGATTGAATTATCCTAAATTTGATCTGATGCCTTAAAATCCTTACGCACTTCAGTGGCCTCTGATCCATTAAGATAAGCCTACAAATGCCATCAGATTCGGCAAAGGTAGCCTCAAATTACGATCGAACAGAGCAGTTTTCCGTCAAACTCTAACACATTAAATAAAGAGCAATGATGGCCCTAGTTGCTGGCACTGAACTTAGAATCGTCCACGAGGAGACGTCGAACAATTTCAATTGAAATAAATTTTAATCCGAGGATGAACCTGGAACACCGTTGCTGGAAACTTATTCTTATAACGTATATTTTCTGTCCTAATTCGCTGAAAATATAAATTACAGAAATTTCAGTATAAAATAATTTCTGAAATCATATCTAATTGTACAAATTTAAGAAAAATAAAATTCATGAAAAAAATTCTTATGAAAATTGGCAATGTTAGAAAATTTGAACATAAATCCTAATCACGGTGCCTCTTTGACGCACCAAAGTCACCTCTTTGGTGACTTTGAAGGTCACCACAAATTCTCAGTTCAACATTCTTTCACGTAAAGACTCAAGGCGCAAAAAAGAAATCGTCCGCAAGACAAATCCAGAAGAAAGTTTTAAAAATTATGAGGAGGTAACATTTTATCACAAAAATTACGGTACTGAAGCTCTATATTCACGATGAAGGCTCGGGTTATTTATCATGAGGAGGTAACATTTTATCACAAAAGTTACGGCACTGAAGGTCTAGATTCACGAAGGCTCGGGTTAAATATTATGAGGAAGTAACATTTTATCACAAAATTACGGCTCTGAAGGTCTATATTCACGATGAAGGCTCGGGTTAAATATTATGAGTAGGTAACATTTTATCACAAAAGTTACGGCACTGAAGCTCTATATTCGCGATGAAGGCTCGGAAGTCTGCAGTGTTCTCCTTCAAACAAGAGTTGCTGATATAAACACAGCTGACAGCATCGCCAATAATTATCGATGAAGGCTCGGAAGTCTGCAGTGTTCTCCTTCAAACAAGAGTTGCTGCTGATATAAACAGCTGACAGCATCGCCAATAATTAAAGCTTTAGCTCGCTGGCTCACTGACAGTTTCCGTAACGAATTGTACCCATTTTCTCTCGAGCCCTATTACCTTTCAAATTTTATTTGCAAGAGAAAGTCGGTTGCCTGTCAATGCACACTGATATTTAGGCTTTATTATTTACACGGAGCTGGCGTTCAGGGCACAGCGTGCGGTGCGATGTGTCAGCGACTCAGGTGTTAGGGTGTATTTATAGCCAGTCATGCTCGTTGTTTACATACGCGTGGTTTGAATTGTAAACTGTATAAAATAAAGTCTGTAGAGCCTAACTCCGTCAATAAAGTCTATAGAACCTAAACTTGACTTGTGATGCGAATCGTTGCACGGGTTTATAGTTCCATGAGTGAAGAGAATCTGGACCTGAGAGCTGGAGCTGGAGGCTCTCGATTGAACACGCACTATTTCTGCACGTATGCGCATGGAAAAAGATTTGAATGCACTCACTATAACATTTACAGATCTAATAAATTAATTTACTCAGAAGCTAATTTCACAGGGATAGAAATACAGATAACCAAAGTCCCAACTGCATTTAACAATATCAGTAAAAAGAAAAATGAACCAGACGCGCAAATCTAAAGATGTTTACACAAGTTTACAAAGATAAAAAAATAAATTTAAATTATTTTAAGGAGAAGAAAATGATGAGCGGTCAAGTGTCGGCCACCGGTGACGCGGCTGTAATATTCAAGAAGGCTGC